GAGGGTAAGAAGGAAGAGGGAAGGGAAGGAGGGGGGAGGGGAGTGAGGAACACGAGGGAAAGAGGAGGAGAGAGAAGAGGTAAGAAGGAAAGAGGGTAAGGGGAGGAGGGGTGGGGGAGGGGGGAGGGAGTGAGGACACGAGGGGAAAGAGAGGAGAGAGAAGAGGTAAGAAGGAAAGAGGAGAAAGGGGAGGAGGGGGGGAGTGGGGAGGAGGAGGGGAGGGAGTGAGGACACGAGGGGAAGAGAGGGAGAGAGAAGAAGGTAAGAAGGAAGAGGGGAAGGGGAGGAGGGGTGGGGAGGAGGGGGGAGGGAGTGAGGACACGAGGGGAAGAGAGGGGAGAGGTACCTTTATTTGCATGTGGGAAACCTTTTCCCCCCGAAAGTGCATTTTCAGAGTGGGAGGAGAGGGGAGACGAAGAAGAAGGGGAAGAAGGAAGGAGAGAGAAAGGGGAAGAGGAAGGAAGAGGGAGAGTAGGGAGAAGGAGGAAGGAGGAGGAAGCAAGAGAGAGAAAAAAGAGAGAGAGTAGGGAGAAGGAGGGGGGGGGAGGAAGCAAGAGAGAGAAAAAGAGAGAGAGTAGGGAGAAGGATGGAGGAGGAGAGAGAGAGAGGAAGCAAGAGAGAGAGAAAGGAGAGAGTAGGAGAAGGAGAGAAAGAGGAAGCAAGAGAGAAAAGAGAGAGAGAGTAGGAGAAGGAGGGATAAGAAGGAGAGAAAGAGGAAGCAAGAGAGAGAAAAAAGAAAGAAAGAGTAGGGAGAAGGAGAGAGAAAGAGGAAGATAGAGAGAGAAAAAAAAGAGGTAGGGAGAAGACGGGAGGAAGAGAGAGAGAGAGAGAGAGAGGAAGAAAAGGGGGAAAAAAAGAGGGGTTGTATTGTCGGAAGCTTTTTTTTCTCTCTCTTCTTTCTTCTCTCTCTCTCTCTCTTTCTCTTTCTCTTTATCGGCGAAAGGACATGCCTATTGTCTAAAACCACGGTTGATTTCGTCTTAAACTCGAGCATTAGGAAATGTTTATGAATTATGTATGATGGTGAATGAAGGGGGGGGGGAGGGGGAGGAGAGGAGAGGAGAGGGAGAAGGGGAGAGGGAGAGGGAAGAAGGGGAGAGGGAGAGGGGGAGGGGAGAGGGGGAGAGGGAGGAGAGGGAGGGGGTGAGGAGAGGGGAGAGGGAGGGAAGGGAAGGGGGAGGTGGGGAGTAAAGAGTGGAAATAGAGGGAAAAGAGAGAGAAAAGGGTTCGAGAAGAATATGTAACTGACGAAAAGGAAATGAAACAGTAAAATTAACAATGATAATGATATCAATAGCAATACCAATAATAATAATTGTCATCATTATTATCATCCTCATCCTTATCATTATTGCCATTGCTATTATTGTCATTATCATTATCTTTATTATCATTATCACGTTTCCTGTCATCATGACTATCATTATTAATTCCATTATCATTATCATTATTTTTATTATCATTATTCTCAATATCTCTATTGTTACCTCGGTTTGTTTGTTTGTTGATTAACAGGTTTTCTAGGATTTTTTAAATATCATTATTTCTATCATTATTATTATTGTTATTAAACACACACACACAAATGCACTCGCATGCAAGTACACACGCGCAAGCACACCAACATCG